GACAATCGGCGCTACCTCGAATTGCTTCGAAGCGCCGTTAAGCGCAATCAGCCGGATGACGGCCTTATAGATTTTGGTTTGAGATGTTTAAACATGTTGTCAACTCAGAGAACGCCAGTCATGCCTTGNAATGGGCTAGCGCGCTATAACTGGCCTTTCAATCCTGCTCATAAAACAGATAGCTAAGACCGGTGCTAGACGCTGACCCATAGCAAGTCCTCGCTTTTGTGAGAAGTACTGTCCGCTCCATTTTACTAAACTGTAAAAAACTGTACTGTGTTGTAGGTCTATGCAGTCTCATTGCCCTTGACATATACCTCACTGATGGACGAATATTTTATACCAAAGAGGTGGAAGGACACGGCGCAATAGTGGCTATGGTCTTTTGCGCTTTTTGCATCATCTCCATACCCATCATCTGTAAGTTTGTTCTACGTTCTCAATTTTTTGCTTGTGTTGTAACATAAAAGGATAAAGTTAATGGACGTCGATCAATCCCGTTTGAGGGATGTGACCCCGCATTCGACTTTTTTCAGAATCGTAGCGGTGTTTTGAATACGGATATGGCTTATACAATGACTTGTGGTAGGCCGATGTACAAGTCCGTGTTTCATCTTCCCAGACTAGTCTGATACCAATTAACCGATGGGGGGATAAAAGGTTCGGTTGGCCTGAACGGATATCGATCCGGGATTTGAACACGCAACCAACTTTGCACAGCACGTCGAATGACGCTGACTATACCCTATTTTTATAAAGCCCAAGTGTACACGAGGCATGTCAAAGAACAGGAGAACATTGAAGGGTTAATTTTGAGGTTAGAGACCGTAATATAGTGAAGGGTGAGAGCGAAGCCGCTTGCTTCCTGACCTCAACATTAGCCCCTCGGTGTTCTTAAACGCTCCCTACGCCGCGAGTTCCTTCTGCTAGGTCGTTCGTTATGATGACCTAACGACCTTAATACGCGTATCTAGAGCACTCACAGATTTTTGTTCCGTTCAGCGTCAGGATACTGATCCATTTCCTATATAATTTCAGTCGTAAGTCTATCTTTCCACAAGCCTTGTCGATTTCGGCCTTCATTCTTTCCTCCTGCTCGATGATCACTGTTACTGCAAAGAGGAGATTATATAAGTTACTGCTGTTGACCTTCAGTTCTACGTATTCCTATTCCAAACACTGAAAAGTTTGGTCCAGACCGTATTGTCCTGCCGAATTCCATCACGTTGACCACAAGTTTCTTGTAAGTTGGTGAAATTTCGGTCGTTAAGTTCTTGTAGAGCTCTTGTATGTTGAGTTGGAACACCATGGTCGCGCCAAGGCTTCGTTTATCGCTTCTGTTTCGATGGTATCGAAGCCCTTTTTCAATTTGGTGGACGTCAGACATAGCGGCATCTTGTACTCTCGCGATACTTGTGACCCTCCTGTGCCAGTGCAGACATAATCGATTGTACTAAACTAAAACTAAAATCTACTAAAACTACTAAAATCCTGCTTGCTCGCATGGCTGGCTAGATTTCATCTAGTATTGTGACAATCCTGTAAATGATGATTTGTCTGAAAAGTTTGTGTTAGGTTATCTCGAAAGCTCGTGCCGGTTGTTTAAACCTTGGAGCAAAAAAATCTAAGTGGTACTTGTGGACAGGTTATGGAGGCACTATACTGCACTTTCGCTAAGATGATTATGAATACGAGGGCGAACCTTGCAAAGGGAGGTTATCTGCTTGAATTTGAATCGGCTGCGCCTCGGCTGTTCCAGAAATTCAGTCAACAGAGGTCTTGCCTTCCTCAGAAAAACCATCGAGTACGGCAAGTGAATTCCTCATGAGTTGACTAGTTCTTGGAAGAAAACGTGCGTGTAGTACTTCCTACAATACCCTTCTTGCTTCCCGCCAAACGGACTAGTTGGACAACGTCGTTGACGGAAATGAGAAGTGGTGCCTCTACATGAATTAAAGGCGTAGTCGAATCGGCCTAAGAACAGAACCGTCAGTAAGAAGATAAAGCGCGCGGGAGATCCTAAAATTCGGCTAGGAATTTCAAGCGCACCATCCATACAGCTCCGGGGTGGTTTCCGATTACCATCTACCTATGATTTTCCTCAGCAGCCTTCTTGCGGGCGAGAGAGCTGTGCCACAAAAAGAAAGCTACTTCGTGTTCATTTCTACAAGTTTTCAACAATCGAATATTAGAAAAATGTTCACCGGAAGTTATGGTTTCCCTTATCCTTCGAGCAAATCACTGATGCCTTTTGTCCAGAAGTCAGGAAGCTGTGGCTCAGCGAAATCATTGACTGCCATTTCAGATCACATTAAAGACGCAGTTTACGATAAATTGGTTACTGAGATTTCCCGCTAGAATGAGTAATGGCCCCAAAAGCTAATACATGAGTCGTTGCCGGGCTGAAAAACAGTGCAGACGGGACGTAATAAGGGCTTCAAAACTGTTTCAGCCTGCGCAGACGCTCCGTGAAGCCCGTGTTATGCCGGCTTTGTTATTACAGGACGAGACCAATGGTGCACTTATGTGAGAGACACCCGGAGGGCTTTCCTGTCCAACACTTTTTGTTGCTAACTTTTGGAATTTTTTTTCATTTTAACTTCTGTACTTCCTTCGCCATCCGAGCACTACTCTGCATCATGGCTACCATTTATCCACTTGAAATAATTGATTCAAAACTATCGTGAACTGTGCCTTCAAGCCGCAAACTTTTTTCTCCCACTAATTTAGGCTTGAGGAGACGGAACGCATGGTAATTAAATGGCAATTAAAAGGAGCAGCGTGCGAAATTTCGACGTGCGTCGCCGTTTCGAAAGCATCTGAGTTATGGTTTTGGACGTCTCTTTTGAACCGTTGTGACTAAATAGCATTCATAGTTAGCCTTGACTATCTAGTCTGCCTTTAGCAACTCATAGTGGATGGACTCCGTCACGTTGCACAAAACTGTGAAACTTTGATTGCTCGCGCTACCTCGTAGGCAATACCTCTGCAGTGAAGCGGTTCAAACCGTTGATCGTTAATCGATGAGAAGTGTTTTCGGCGAACAGGTCACTACACTTGCTTTTTTTCCCTGATGTACCTGGTATAGGGTACGTGGTGTCTGGTCTTGTCCAATCATTGGTGGTAAAGTTGCGAAAGCTCACTTGCGCTCTTGTTTACTCATGTGTTGTAGTGCCTGATTAATGCCCCAGAAATTTATCACCTTTGCTATGTGTTCGCATTGTTCATGCAAAATTTCTAACTCTTCGAAGTTTTGTCGCATAACTTACCTGTTAACAGGATACGATTCCCCGGGATTCTAAAAATGACCTCACTCTTTTCCAACTCGAAACTGCAGGACTTCTGGTGAGAGTAATCCAATCCCTATTCTGTGGTTGGCAGCATGTTGTTAATAGTCATTGTGCATACGCTGTACAGTAACATTGCATTTTTTGGAATATAGTCAAATCAAATAGGTTTGGAGTTGGCACGAACTTTTGAGACAATCTAATGAATCACAGAGCAGGATCAAGGGGAGATAGTAGCCAATATCGTCTTAATTTTCTTCCTTATAGCGACACAGTCTTGCTATTTTTCCACGACGTAGGTACTCATCGTTTCGACAGGAGCTGCGTGGAGAGCCAAACCAGTGTTTTGAAGATAACGGATAGGAGATGCTTTAGATATCCTGAGTTAATCCTACCAAACGTCGTACAATTTTTCGTCGGCGTAATGGCATGTCGAATTCTAAAAGGAAGAACGGAAAGAGCTCATATCCTGCCTATAATGCTATTTAGTAAGTTAGGCGTGGCAGACGAAGAGATCCGGCCAGGAAACGTAGGTACCTTCTACTTGCCTTTCATTGCAGTAACTGTTTCGTCAGGACAGTGAAGGAAAGAATTTTCGGTCTTGTGAGTGGTGAAGCTCGAAGGGCATTGCAATGCTCTTTTCGTCCTCCGCAAAGCCGCGCGATTCCATGCAGGCATATCAGCTCGAGCTTCTCCGAAGGAAAACGACTCCTGACATCTTGTGGACTCATGCTTGCGCTGAAGCCTGTTTCAGGGAACAGCTCTTCTTCCGTTTCGGGAACGGCGTACTGGGAATGCCTTTTCGTGTCGATCCATCCGATGGGTGGCGTATTTGATCTATCTATTTTGTGTCAGCAAATCTTCGATACATGCTTACGTTCGCGCATTGTGAGCACAGATTGCCATTTTAGCCCCTTTTTTTGAGCAGTCTCTTACGACCCCGCAGACTCTTCTCACGCGTATGCATGAATACACTCGCAACGAAACCGAAGGTATTGGGTTAATCGGGAATTTTCCCTAGTTTTTGTATTCAACTATGAGTAAAAATTTCTCAGAGAACAAATTTGTTAATCGAACAATCTATCCTCTCTTGTATTGAACGGTAGTTCGCTATCACTCTGGAAGCTTTGTTACACGCTTTGTAATACAAATCCGTTCGAAGAATAGTATGGTGATGCTCTACCCGGACAATTAGGAGGGAAGATAGCGCGGTAAGGCGTTTCGTCCAAAATCCAGTAAATTTCAATGAGTTATTGAAAATGAATGGGGTATGTGTATGACATTGCCCTCATTATAAATCACACCTTTACAACTGGCTGATTCTGGGCGCTCCTGTTCTACTGCTACCTTCACATTGTTCAGTTGAGTACAGTGTCCTTCATTCATATTGTACAATAGTAGACTAGTTATGAGCTCACCTGAGATAGCAACGAAGACTTTCGCCACTGCACTACTAGCTGGAACAACTAAACGCATAAAATCTACGGCGGTATTGTGCAAAATAATGAACCTAGCTTGAGCAACTAATCCACGATTTCCTCTTCCTTTTATCTACTAATCAGCGTGAAACACATCTCGAGGGTTATCTATTGTCCATCAATACATGCAGCAGGATAAGTGAAATCTGCTAATATCACTTTCTGAATAGTCTGCGCAAGCAGATTCTTTACGATGTTTCTTATTTTTTGAACTTTCCCACCGAGAAACTTTTTTCAGTATTCACTTTGGGCGCTTGGCACTTTCGAAGACCTAACCTATACATTGTACATGTTCTGTGGCAGGTATTTCTTGAGTGTATACATTTGAGTTCGTATTACTTCAAACATCAGTTTATTGTAGTGGACGGTACTCGAAGCCTTGCTCTTCTTTGCATATGAAGTCTTGAAGCGCGTCTTTTCATTGGAACTCCGCCAGCGAACAGGGTTTCTCCTTCCTTCCGCGATTGTGCTTGCCTTCGCTGGCATCTCAGCAGTGGTGGTGCAGAGTTGGTGGTACGTTTGAGAGCCTCAAGATTGCTCATTGAAAGCCTGGCAGATATGAATGTGGTGGTGGTCGTCATTGAAAGGAGTCGGATTATAAGCACATTACTGAGCACATAAAATTCCGCAGTTTTTATAGTGTTTCAATTCTCAGCACTTTTTTCGAATTCTAAACGAGTGACAGTGACAGTATATCAGGTTGACACATTCCCATGATTACATGCTTGTTTGGCTTTGGCTGCATATGCTTTCCTATCACCCTTTGCAATCAAATTCTAGTGAGCGTAAAGAAGTACAGAGGATCTGAACTATTAAATAGTTCTGAATTTACTCTGGATTAGAAGTTCTAAATTTTGTTCAAGAATATCTTCGGAAAATCTCTACTTTCATCGATTCTTTTTCTTTTGCTTTTGTCTCGCCTCTAGGCCTAGTTCGCTTTCCTAATATGTTGACGTCATATTTTTCTCGACCAAACGCTCGATAGTGGTGGTTGTCGACCGTTTTCATGTCTTCGTGCAAAGTATCGAACCATCATCGATGCTTCGAGCGTATTCTAGGCTGCTTTATGGACACAACAAGGTTGAGAACGATCTTGCGGTCACTCCGCGCAAAGAGCATGAACGTAACACCGAAGACGAACTGTGCGTGTTTTATCGACAATCGGCGCTACCTCGAATTGCTTCGAAGCGCCGTNAAGCGCCGTTAAGCGCAATCAGCCGGATGACGGCCTTATAGATTTTGGTTTGAGATGTTTAAACATGTTGTCAACTCAGAGAACGCCAGTCATGCCTTGAACCACACCACATTCGCGCAAAAACTGGTTTAAAAATCAGGCTTTTTCAGACGCCATTTTCGATCAAAGATACTTGAATGTTGTTGTACGTGTGAGCTCAGCACCATTAAACTTGATAGAGCCGGGTTCGCTTGGATCAGCGGTCAAGTATTCAATCTTTCCGACGTTCAAGCTCAGCCCGAACATAGCCAGACGGTCGGACCAGGTTTGCACCTGTTGCTCGAACGTCCTTTTGTACTCGTTAGCGAGCATCACGTCGTCAGCATAAAGAAGCGCCCGTGGAGCCTCCTTCTGGAGATCTTCTGTAATGGCATCCGTGAAGACATTAAACAGTAGTACAACGTAGAGTCGTACTTCGACGAGATGGCAAAATCCTGGACAAAATCCGTGATCCGTGATTCGATGTGCAATGTGGCCGCTGCTGTTTGCAGCTCTTTGGACTAGAGTAAGGGTGCGTACTCACTCGAGCTCTTCGGGAACGTCACGCTGCGTAAAGCATGCCATATAACGTCACGCGGAACGCGATCGAAAGCTTCAATTATTTCAGACAGTAGCCTGCGCAATTATATTATAGCCACTGCAATCACAGTCACTGGCAACATTTAAAATCGTAGCAGAAATACTTTTTTGGCCGATGTCGTTTATCGTAGCTAACCCTCCCAAGATAACCGTAGAACTCGGAGTTCGCATGGCATAGCATCCTTGCACTATCACTTGTTCGAAACAATCATTAGTCACAGTTGACGTGACTTTTCTCAGTCAATCGGCCTGGTGACTTGGATGTGAGCTGATGAAGTGAAACGATATGCAAATCCTATATTTATAGAGAAATGGAAAGGACACAGCCAAGTGCATAAGGAGCGAAGAGCATTGGAAGATAATATAAATGAAATGGCGTGGCCATAGTGACGGGAGAAAAACTTTAAAGATATGTTCCCGTTAAGAAAAGGATCAGCGCGAAGAGGTGCTGGTGGGAAGGAAGTGGTTGAGGGAGAATCCACCATGCTCCTCTTGCAAATTCAAAAGCAGTTCATATAACCGTTGTGTTTGGCTTTACGTTTCTTCATCGAACACCAACGGATGAGTTCTTCTCCTCAAAGCTCTCCTCTCGTTCCCAACGCGCCATGAGCCAGTCGCAGTTGCAGCTGTTTTCGCTGTAGAGCTTCCCTTTCACCGCCATACAGCCCACTTGTCATGTAGATTTCTTTTGCTTTCGAACTGCTTCCAGAAAACAGGGGTTCCTCACCCTCTTTCAACCACCTCAGCGTCTTCATGGGCACGTCTTCAGCGGTAAGAATAGAGTTTTTTGATTCGACTTAGGCTGTGCGCACGGAATTGTACTGTATGGCTCTACCTCGTTCTTGAAGAGATGTCCGCTCTTATTTATTAACCGCTAGTCGGACTTCGTCCACAAATGCGTGCATCACAGCAATGAACTCTTTGAACAGTGTTATCAAACTCGGTCTCTGCCCTCGAAAAATACAGCCTGCAGGACTTACTCGACTCGAGTTATGATTTTTATGAGGTCATATATAAAGTACGGATCACAACTAGGAGCTAGCTCTCTCAGTTTTTTTGTTGACCCCTTCAGGTGTTCCTCAAATAATACAGGATTTCGTGGCAGACAGGCAGACGCACGCTTCATGTTCAATAAGTAGTGATGATTGTTCGGGAACGTTATTGGACAGAGCTGTGAATTTTGAATTTGAACCATGCATCCGCCCACAGTACCCACATTGCCTGGATGGCCACAAATGACTTTTTTCTGGTTTCTCAACAAAGTTATCCGTGTTCGATCTTAACTCCACGTACCTCGGTAAACGCTGCACCCATTATTGAAATTTGACCACTCTTCCTTCAATAACCCTCCATCACTGTTCACGGTGTTTCAGAATACCTCGAATAAAGGCTCGCTCACTTGATACAAGCTCTGTCCACTTTGAAAGCTTGATCACTATTTATTCATTCATTCATTCATTCATTCATTCATTCATTCATTCANTCAGCCTCTGGAAGCTTTTTTCAAGATTTTACAACATTTTTAAAGAAAGTTACAGATTTCCGTTGGAAAGCTCCCATTTATTTGAAAGCACGTCCCAGCTTCTCTATTTTTACTTATGCCTGACACACCTTAAGCATTTTTTATTCTTATTGCTTATTCTCTTTTTTTTTCTAACCCCCAAGTTTCCGTTGAGTCCCTTAAGAGTTCTACAAGATTGCCGGATCACCCTCACCTTGAAAATGGTCACTGCGTGCGGCTGACCACTGACAATGGTGTCAGACCTAACTTATCATGAAATCATCATTATGCAAAGCATGTCCAGCGATTTGTGCAACAAACTTCTTAGACCCCTAGTGTGGTGCAATTGTATTACTCTCGTTGGAACACTGATTAATCATATAACAATGGTGATTCTCCAACGCTGATGATAAGTTGCCAGTGACAGATGTCATTAATTGAAACTCGTACAATTCAAGTTTGCTGATTCCAACTTTATTTTTTCTCATAATGAAACTATTTGCTCCAATAATGCTCTGCAAGATGCTCCTTTTCCACATCCATAATGCGTGGATGATAATATCAAAGATCAGACAATCACTACTGGTAGCTAATTAGACACACTATTGATTATTTTGCTCAAATTGCTGTAGTGAGCCACAGCCAAGTCCGGAACAACTACCCGCCTCTGTGCAGCAAAAAGGGTGAATAACGTGCATTCATTCTGGAGATTTTATTGTTTTCTAGCAGGTACAGTTAGAAGAAACAAGAAATTTGGCACTAACTCGTCTGATTGTGTATTTAGCGAAAGCAAAAACGAATTTCCGCTCTCCTTTGTACGGTTGCAAGATACACTGACAAGCGTCTTTTTCCCGCGCTCGATGCACGTGCCCCACGACATTCATGTGCCTCTCAGGATAGCCAGTTCCATCTGTTAATCTAGCTGCAGCCGAGAAAGGAGCAACGGGTTGCAACTGAATGCATCACATTTTACAGGACCTCAGTAATGATCGACGCAATGTTTTTTGAAATGTCCGACACAAGCGGTAGAAGGGAACGACCTGAAACCGGTTCGAAGGTAATCATTCCAGCACAAATTTTCAACAGTGAGCTTGTCAGTTTATCAGTTGCAGTGTGGCGATAATGGTGACGATTCAGCATCTACTGACAGTAGACATCATTCCTCAGCATCTCTAAAGGTGAACAAATTTGAGGATTTACGTTCGCTTCATGTGTGACCACAACTGTTTAAGGTTGATCGCTCCAAGTCCGTGGAGATAGTGTCGATCGGTGATACTCGTATAGTGACACTGGCGAGAGTGAACGAGAATCCTGAATTCACCGACGTCGTCAACGTTTGACTATGCCTCCTCTGATTTCCAAGTCCCAAATCGAAGACCTTTTTATCCGCTAGCTTTTGGCATTAGAGCGTTCTTCAGACCATGCATTCCAGGATATTCACGCTCCTTCAGCAATTGATGATTTCGGCTTGAGTTAAGGCTCAATGTTGTCTAGGGTGCGTGGCTGCTGTAGGCAGTGGTCTGAAGAAGGCCCAGATGGATGGAGTCCGCCAATTAGAATATATTCCCAAAGCCTTCGAAAAACACTTGCTCAAAGCGGTGTGTGGTGATTCTCGATGAAGACAACGCACTCTGCGTCACTTCGACTTACAACGCAAAATGTCATTCACATGTTGCTGAGCATCGTTGTATTATCACTGTCAGCTTCCTTGCAGGTAACAGACGAGTTATTTTAGCGAGCAAAGCCTTATGAAAGTAGTTTATTCTGAGATCTCAAACGCCTCGTATCAATTATTCATTTTACGGTTGAGGGCAGTAAAAAATGTGCCATTGTTTTCACGTGTGCGCTTTCATGAATGATAGATAAAGATCTGTCTATTTCGATCGTTCAAGTGTCTTATATGTAGACCAGTCGGACTGCCCGGCTAACGCCAGGCTCTCCTCCTTCCTGTGTCCAACACCCTATCCAGAGAAATGTCAAACTGAAGCACTTTTTACTCTTACTCAAAGTTTATAGATCTATTAAGTTTTTTCCGCTGCTTAGCTGAGTTTAGTTTTTTCCGCTGTTCAGCTGAGTGAGAGTATGAAACTGAAACACAGCTGGAAGTCCTTCTTTGACACGAACGAAATCGAAGGCTTCCCTAATTCTGTGATAAAGTTATCGTGAGTCTAACTTTCCACTCCTTTTTTGAAACAAATGACAGTCTCCTGTACACGAAATTTGACACAGGACTAACAGCGCAGTGCAAATGGTATTCAGTTGAAGTCGGTGCCCACGCCTTTGATTGGAAGTCTTGAACTTGTGCTCCCTTTCTTAGAAATAGATACCCAACAAAAATCAAACTGTCAGACAATCAAATATGATGCTGTGGAGATGTTCTGAGTGATGATAAAACCGTTATCAGATGTTCTTTATCAATGGACCCTTTTCTTTACGCAGATATCATCAGCTGAGAATTCCAGATCACAGGCGGTCGATTAGGTTTTGTCGCAATGACATCGAGCTATGAGGATCCTTCATTGAATCACAAACCTTGAGGATAGCGGTCGTAATCTAATAGTAAAAAATAACAAAGTTCTAATCTGCTTCGTGTTACTCTAATAGGTCCCTATCACTACACTTACCACTCACTTTTGTCACCCTGCTCTACTATCCCGTCTTATCGAGTGAAACATACTGGACGGTCAAAGCTACATCGTAGATACCGAAGAGTTAGGATTTTGATCGGTAGGTGGCCTATATTAGGTTCCTTATGTTCTCTTATCACTTATGGCCAGTTCTTGTCACCGAGTACCTACGATCCCGCCACATCCTACCTCACTTACTAAAATGCTGAGGTTCCACCGTTAGTACAAGAAGTGTAATCCTACCTAAATGCAACGCTCTAGGTCGGTCCACGTAAAAAGAAGGTATGAATTTGCGGGCCAAGTTTTATTGCGCATGCCGCGCTCCCTTTTCACGGAGTCCGGCCCTGCCACCCACCATGAGTGGCCCCATCCTGCTCCCCGTACTCCTACCAAGTTTGAGCGCTCTAGGTACATGGGGACAGGACTTATGAATTTGCGGTCAGACCCACACACCGACACACAAACACACCGACACACCAACAGACACACTTAGCGAATTATATAAAGTAGGATAAGCCAGACATGCAGCGCTTAACACACTGTCAGGCAGTGAAGAATTAGGGCCTTAGAACGAGGCCTATTATTTGAACAGTTCAAAGAAATCCAGGCTCAGATTTAAGAAAGACAGTTGCGGAGTACCGCAATACCAGATTCCACATACCGACCTTTTGTCAAAGTACAACGAAATGTGGTTCGATGGAATGTTTGTTACGAAGGGGCAAGAGAGTACCTGTGATTGTCCCGACCAACGTAAAGCAAGAAGCCACAAGTGAGAAGTGCGTCGTGAGCAATGAGTGACATGCGCGTCTCCCCCCGAATTTTCTCCACCCCGCTCATACAGCGGGGGTGGCATGATCACAATTCGCAGGAGAGGTCGTCTTCGACCACATAATTCCGAAGACAGCGTTGGAGGGGAATGGCTAAGGCAGAAGTTTGCTTAGAAGCTTTCCATCGCAATTTGAAAGCGCTGCCTTTCGAGAGTGGGTCATGAGATTTCGTCATTTCCGATAGTGTTACCGCACAATATCCCCTGGAAACGACGGTATTCGTCATGTCTTTAGGTACCAGCGATGACTACAAGGTCACGAATACATCGCCGTATAGGATGTGATTGTGAGAGGCAGTAAGGCAAGGTGCCGTAAGGCATAGTGGGCCACTGCCCGTACCACCATTTTCCTAAGCTCCCATTGGAACGTCGATCGCAGAAGGTATCGGTAAAATCCCTTCAAATCATCCATGCCGCGTTTATTAAAACTTCAATAGAATGATTCACGCTACTGTCAAAAGCCAGACAACTCCAAAGATACGAAACTCTTGTACTCTTTTGATGGCTTACTTGGCTACGAGGCAATCTACTGACTCCTTGCATTCTCCCGAGCAGAGGTTATTGATCTTTTCCACTTTCAACTGAACCCCATTCTTTTACTTCAACTCTGCTACATATCTGTGATGACATTTATAGAACCCAACATAACACCGTTTCCGAAACATCATACGTTAAAGACAATTGGTCTAAAACGTAGTGCGCTGTGAATAAGGATAAAGGTAGCAATCATCCCAGTAAGTGTAAAACCATCGTTCAACTGAAGAGTATTGCAACAATTGAAGAAAAATGACTAAGTGATATCCCTGAGGTAACAAAGTACTTCACGAAGTAACTTGAAGAGTTTTTGAGGTATTATAACGTTCTACTCAACTAAGCATACTCATTTCCAGCTCGTAAAGTGAATAACTTCCTACGAATTACTTTTGGCTTTCTTTAGGCAAAATTTCTGAGGATCAGAGGAATCTTGGAATGTCACTAGGTCCGAGACCGCAAAAGACATAGAACCATGGATTATTTTCAACATAGTGATAAGATCATTTTTCAGTCTTCGTTTTCTGAGGAACTCTAAACTCAGTACCTCATCCCCCAGCTGGTCTACCACCTTCAGGCGGTGGGTGGGTGAAACGTGCGGCGTGTGGGCGTGTCCGCTTTACCACTCTTATCTGTAAAAATGAATAAATAAATAAAAACAGGGTTTTGCAATTTTTTAGTATTTCATCATGTGCTCCAATGCAAAGTTCCGGTAATTTCCAGTTATGCGAGGCTGTATATTGACCGGCTTGCCGCTTCGCGTTCGAAACAGTTGTTAGGTAGTTGTTGAGGAACTGGAGGGATGGCGGCCCCTTGCTTGAGTTCCCCTTATCCGTTCGCCCGAGGTCGCGGTTGGATTCGTTCTTAACGCATTAAGTTGCACTCAACAAGCCCTGGTACATTACGTCTAAATCACTGCGTTCCTGACTAAAGACAAGGGACTCGCTCGGGTAAATATCTGCCTACCAAGGAGGAGGCACCCTGTCACATGCTTTCATCTATACCGTCAGATGTCGGCTTGTATGGTCCGGAAGCTCTCGCCAGCACTTTTATACTGCTCGATGCAAACTTTGTTTGGAGCTTTCAATATCTTTTTCGACTGTATTTATGAAGGAATGTATGTATGTAACCTAACGGCACACCCGCATGTCCACACGACTGAGAGTGGGCTCCCTGGCAGCCCGGCAAGTTACACGTGGACACTCATACCTCATAAGATGAGGAGGTCCCCCATACGGCGGCGTTGGGGGCAATACCGTTAGGCAGAGGCTGCTAAAATCTTAGGGCCACGACAGGCCACCTAAAAGGAGAAGGACTAAGATGGCGATCTGTACTTCCAACGCGCGAACGCTTGCATCGGAAGCAGCATCGAAGATCTGATGATTCAAGCCAGCAAGATCAGGTATGACGTCATCGGACTGACCAAGATGAGAAGGCACCGCCCGTTGCATGCCACTTTTGAAACTGAAGAAGAACTGTTCCTTGGAACGTGCGACAGCAGAGGCGTCGGCGGTGTAGGTGTCCTCGCTAACACGCATTGGCCATGGACATCGATTCGCACGAAAGCCTAACAACCCGAATCGGACTTTTGCGATTAAGAAGATATGACTCAACTTCAGCCCTAGCAATTTTCGTTGTTTACGCGCCAACATCGAGCAACGATCAAGAAGAGCTGGAGGCGTTCTATATGGATCCGGAGAAACTCTACAGAATAGACCATACTTTCTTCAAGGTTATCCTCGCTGATTTCAAGGCTAAGACTGGCCCCAGAAGAAAGGCTGAAGAACTCCACATCGGGACTCACGGAATGGAATGAGCAGGGTGAAAGACTGTTCGAGTTTATCATATCGGCCCACATATCCATGTTCCAGAAGTTCGCAGTTCTAGAAGCTCTCCCACTCCCGATGGACATGAGAGTCACCTGGTGGGCAGTTCCATAATGAAAGGAACGCGCACAGATCCGTGGTAGTACTCACGCTTTCGGTAGTTGGAACTCTTCATCGCGTCCCTTTCGTGCTCGGAGATGTTACGTTCCTAACGCTTCTGGAATTCATTCCTAAGTGCGCAAGTGTGCAGGATTCCAGTCAGTCACTTAATCCCAGGCTCCGATCAGCACCCCATCTGAACCATAAGCCTTCCAATCTCCATCTTCCTATTGATTGGAACTTCAATCTCTGTTCAAAAAGCGTTGGGGTCAGCCGTCACCTCTACCTGGGAAATGTTCTCACGATGGAATTCTTAGATCAGTAGCCTGTCAGAGTGCACTTTCGGCCTGTGCCTAAACTCACCAGCCTTTCCCAGGGCTGCAGCGTTGCTAATGTTTACGGCCCTAATTAATTTTGTGTCTTGAATAACCCAATGCTCTTTCCTATTAAATAGCCTTGGCGAACGTAGACAGCCAATTCTTCTGAAACTCTCCTTTTTTGCCAAGGCTTGAAGGCAAGTTGCTTCTGCCTCACATCTCGCTGGAGTTCGTCGTTTCAGAACCATGTTTTCTCGCTTCCTCAAAATCCACTGAAGTTTTTCCCAGAGTTTCCCTTGCACATAATGTGATGACTTTAACAGTGTTTCTTCAGGCCTGCTGGATCGAGTTTCTGACACTTGAAAGACTAACTTTGAATACCCCCCATTTGTGGTTTTCTTTTCCGGCCCGGAGCAGTTTCCACCACCGAATCCTTCGCTGAGTTAATGTGCTTGATTTCATGGCAAGCTCGATGGCTATTTCTGTGGGAAAGATCTGTGCTCAGAAGCCAAATCCTCGTCAAGCACTTCTTTGATGTCCTCTACCATTGTTTGATGGAGATCTTCATAACCACTGCTGCTATCTTTTGACTCTACCTTTTCGCGAAGAAGATGCAGTAGCAGGTAGTGGGCAGTGAACAGGTTGAGCATCCGCATCTGGCACTAACCACTTTTGCCAATTTTTTTGCGATTTCTGCAAGACATGGTTAATGTCTCGACAGCGGTTGAACTCGTGGTCGTTCTCAGGCCAGTCTCTTGTAATCTATAATTGTAGGTGAGTGGCTCGACTCAGTTCGCACAGCGTTGACTGCTTTCATAGCTTATCTTTAGAACTGGTGTTGGGAAGAGACTGTGTATTGATAGGTGGCGCACTATCATGCACTCTGGTTCCGAGGATTAAAGCAGAGCTCCATACTCTCATACTCACCCATCACACTAGCTTCCAGACACATCTGAAAGAATAGAAGCTGTTACTTGCGCGTTAGATGGTCACCACGAGTGATTGTAGCACAGGCTACGTATGTATTGGAGGAACCACTATAATTTTTCGAAATGTAAATCAAATGTCGAGAAGCATCCAAAATGGGTTTGGTTTATGCCACAAAACTATATCCTTCAAGAAAGTTTTATATTCTTTCCCAGTATGAATGAGATCGGGTGGAAGTCACAGCAAACCCATCTTACGAGGAAGGTCTTTCAAACTTTTTGAAAATGATTTATTGCATGATGTATGAGCACTGTGTACAGAACTGTGGTCCGTTTTCGCTAAATGTCTCTCTGAATGCTAAAAAAGGAGTGAAAATGATNACTTGCGCGTTACACGGTTCACAAGTGATTGTAGCATAGGCTACGTATGTATTGGAGGAACCACTATAATTTTTCGAAATGTAAATCAAATGTCGAGAAGCATCCAAAATGGGTTTGGCTTATGCCACAAAACTATATCCTTCAAGAAAGTTTTATATTCTTTCCCACTATGAATGAGATCGGGTGGAAGTCACAGCAAACCCATCTTACGAGGAAGGTCTTTCAAATTTTTTGAAAATGATTTATTGCATGATGTATGAGCACCGTGTACAGAACTGTGTTCCGTTTTCGCTAAATGTCTCTCTGAATGCTAAAAAAGGAGTGAAAATGATTCTGTCAGACATTGTCGTTTTAACCCACTAAGCACCGTTTGTTTCATTCATGAAGTAGAGGGTCCGCACAGTAGAAGCGTGAACGAACGTGAACATAAAAATAGCGTGAACGTTAGCCGAAAAAGGGATGTTGGTGAGCCACATGTTGAAACAGCGCGGGATTGTTCCATAGGTACTGTCCACGGTTTAACTGCTGGCAGCGACGGATGGTGTAGTGGATAGCGATGGGAACTCCGAAACGGGACGATTAGGCTGGGTTGATTCGGATTACCGAGGCGATGCCGATTCTGCATTTTAAGCTGCCACCCCAGGTCGGCTCCATATTGCACTAGGGCCAAAGCAAGTGCCTGGCTGGACCGTGACCGTGATCGTGAGATAACCTCTACAAATTGAATTTTACTGATATTGACTGAGACGAATTGTCCCCCAACAATCTCCCTTTTTTGGCTGACCTTCACGTTATTTTTAATGCGCAGTCCAATGGCGCCTTCTACTGTGCTGACAGTCGACGCCATGAATGAAACAAGCGACGCGCAGTGGATTTAAACGACAGTGTCTGACAGAATCATTTTCACTCCTTTTTTAGCATTCAAAAGGCCATTCAGCGGAAATGAACCATAGTTCTACACTCAGTGCTCATGCCCCTATACCATGCAAAAAACCATTTTCAAAAAGCGTCTCACGCCTTGAAAGACCTCCCTCGTTAGCCATTTCGCTGTTCCCCAGCAGGAACGTTTCTTGGAAGGTGAGTGGTGAAGGAAACGCGTCGACGGACAGGCTCACCTAAGTTCATGTGACCCTAATAAGCAACCGCTTTTGCCGGATAGCAGACAACGATTGTTCCTATCTTTTAGAGCGCATGACACATCTGAAAATCGTGAAGGCTGCTCAGATATAGTTTGCCTTGTATAGATAGTTCCAAAAATCTTCCAGAGCTGTCACACTCACCGTTCGAGCTTTACTAAATAGCCATCCCCGTTCAGAGGATGGGTCATCGAGTAGATAGTGTGTAGAAAGTAGGACAGGAACAAGTGTGATAGTGAATGGTAGGACTATAGATCAACACAAAAGTGTTTTTCCGCGAAATCAAACACAAATCATTGTCCCTGATACCGTATTTGTAATTTACGGAGCCCGAAAATGATGCAGCCGACAACATTTAANNNNTACCGCGCACCCTTGGAGCCTACCAGGTTTCCCTGGACCTCCACGCTTCTGTGAAAGCATTGATATGGAATGGTACATCTTCTCGCTCTTTTCACCTAACTTATACCTTAATCTGAACTTGTAAGCGAATAATTTTTTAGACTCAGTGTCAGTACCGTCCAAGGCCAGAGTTCCGCCCACAACTCGCCATCCTTGTGAGGGTTGTAAGAGTATAGTTGTCCGATGGTGTCCATCTTTGCGAAGCGATCCGTAGAGGAGTCAAGTCATTTTATAAAAAGTACAATTACAAATACGTACATATAAAGTGAATAATTATTACTACATGACCAGACAACAAGCTTTCCGCTTAGAATTTCGCTTAACAGATACATCGTTTGGGGAAGTCTTTTTACCAAGTCGTAGAGTCCGTTTTGACTTTGATTTATCTTTCTCTTGAGAGTCCCTTATTTGACGAACGCAATCGATGAAGATCTGAATGAGCTAGGTTCAATTACAGCTGAGAAACTCGTATTTCACAGAGCTGACCGTGGAAACGTTCTCATTCAACTTAGCGCTAGTCTCGAACAGTGAACAGCCGAATTGCTTGCTCATCTCTCGTCCTGCTGCTGCCGGCACCACACGTTCAAGGTCTGTCTTGTTCCCTACGAGCACCATTGGAACCTGCACAATCAAAACAAAGTTATTAAAGAGCCACATCAACTAATGGCAAAATTGTTGCAATTTCCAGTTCGTCAAGTAAATGGGGGGAATTTTTAGAGTTCGAATTCAATTTTGCCGTACAGGAATGAATGAAACAATGGAAAGAGGTTGTTTTTGGTTTGCAACCTAAGGGGTAATTCGAAAGTAATCGAGCGCAATTCAGTAAACGTTGAAATGATGTACTGTAGCTGGAACTCAGATCCGTTCAGTCTATCTGATCATCATCATCGAACCATGATTACTACCCGTATACACAGTAGTATTCGACCAAGCCTTTCGGCCTGCAGATATTCGGACTTATGTACGTTTTTCTTCTCTTCTGGGTTCGGCATTAGCACTCGTACACTTTAGACATGGCAAAAAGAGAAGAAGTCTCGGAAGGGCCATCTTTCGTATTTCCAGTTGACTTTTTGTTCAAGCCCTTTGGGATATCTGGAACACGATCAGATTCCAGGTAAACAGTGGTAAATATTCGCCATACATTCACGCTCCAAATAAAGAAATTTCGCATGATTAGATCTAGTAGGAAAGCAGTTACGACTGAAAAAAAGCGGCAGAAGAAGCATTTAGCCGAATAATTTTGTGCGCTACTGTAACTGTGATCGTAGTAATATACTTCACCTGTCGGTAATATTTAAGCTTTCTAGGGTTGAGCGAAGCGCAAAACTCCTAATTTCGAGAACTGTATACACCTCCTTTTGACAGATTGCGCTGGCAGGGTAAAGATGTTGTGGGAACACTGAAATCCACCAAGTCGCAGGGTGAAAGTTAGGAGGAGTTTTCCACTGTGAATAAATAGTGGGAATTCTCGGGCTATAAATGGTTTGAATGGAACTGTCATGATATAAAGAGAGCAGCTGGAGGTATAGCGATCGCATGAAAACTTATTCACTCTTTCATTGCTGCTTGACTAATCGTTGGTGCTAGTTCTTCCATAGACGAATTTAGATGAATTTGAATTATTCTTGCTCTGCTTGTTTTCCTTGAACACAGATATCGATCGTGTGTTATGCTACATCATGAGCATCACAGAGTATCAAGGTCACTTCAGAAAAATACGCTCAGCCCCTCCCCATCATAATCCTTTTTCTGCTCATTTGCAGTAAGAGAGGAAGTTGATATTCTTTCGTTTAAAGGGATAGAATGAATGGACATTTTTACACCCATGATCTGTGATTCCCTTTCATTTCACTCTTTATCAGAGCAGTGAAAGCAAGCCGCTACGATTTTGACTGGTTATAAAATACTGGTATCGTGCTCAAACAAACACCAGGACGGCCACCATCGCGATGGTCAGACTTTTTCACGAAAGCTTCAAATGTAAATACTATCTCGTGTCTCGTGTAGCTATCGAGTTTGGTGCACTGGACTAACTGACTCGACAAATGGAGACGTTACTAGACAACGCTAGAAGAAATCGATGATCAGCGAGACTGCAGATGATACAGGTGATTTTTACTCAAATGCACTCTATGACTACCATCACCTGTTAAGTACATGCTGCCCAACCGCTAATTGCCAGCATGGAACCATCAGTGGCTACTTGACCAAACCTCTCCGTGTCTTTAGCATATTCTCACGTACACCAGCCGTCTTAGAGTAGTACACGAGAAGTGAGACGGTGCACATACATAACAGATGGCTTTTGAAAGANAAAGAGTGCTTACGGAAAACCTGAGATTTTCCAAACCCTCAGTTGAGTGGTAGGACGGATTGTTCCATTACACAGCTACAACGAAACCTTTGGGATGAGGGAAAAATAGTAGTTTCTGGAAAACGCTGCGATCCTTGATGCTATCTACCGCTTTTTTAGTGAAAAAGTACAACAGCTGTTATATGGAGTCACGGAATCGAACAATGGGCTTCTGCAGGTTCTTCATGGGCGATTAAGTAGGGCTTGCAGTCAGCTTGCACGGTGCTGCTGAAGAACAGATCAGTCTGTATCTTCGATGGCAGTCCACTTTATCTCGACGTGAACTGTAGACGAGGGTATGTAAGCACGGCCCTGATGGCACGGTTCACGACAATTCTAGAGGACCTCGTTTTTGACGAAGTTATAATTTGACAAATGATAGAAGTTATAATACAAAATAAGCAAAAAAGAGGAGAAAACGCGAAAGCCTGCGTATTCGGAGAAGCCCAAGGCTCAAAAAAAGAACTGAAATCAGGAGTTAGACGAGGATGTGACGACAGAAGTTGAATGGAAGGGCCCTTTGAATGATCTGTCTAAAGACGCGCGCCATTACATACAGCTGGCTGTTGTATGCTGCCTTCGCGCAAGGTGTGGGTCCCGGTGCGAACGATGCAACCCCTACGGTCTTACAACGCTTTGGAGCTTGTCCGTCTCGGGTGTGTACGTCGGCTAAGCCAACCCTGGGGCCCTTACTATGCTCTATCTTGGCCCTTTTTCTACCCAGCAGCGTCCTGTAGGCTACCTTTGGAGGTCACAGGGTTAAAAAGGGGAAGTCTCAGGAACCCTTTTGATCATGAACTGTGCCCACAAAGCATGGAAATACAGCTAAAGCAGATGAACGTCTCATTCTTACAATGATTTTTTGCCGTTTCATTCTTATAATGGTTTACTCACATTGATGTCTTGTTTGATACGAACGATTGTATCCCGAATTTCCCGGAGTTCCTCAAGCGACTCGCGATCATTCACAGAATATACCAGTATGAACCCTTGCCCGTTTCTTACGTACAGATCTCGCATACCAGAGAATTGTTCCTGAAGGGAAAAAATTTCTTGAAGATTGGTACACGTAGAAAGGCTACTAGTTGATTACGGACCGTACCAGCCGTGTCGAGGATCTCCAAACGGCAATCTTCTCCATCAACGACAAAGTGCTTCCTGTAACTGTCCTCAATTGTTGCGTCGTATGACTGTACAAAAAGACCTTGCACGAATTGAACTGTCTGAAATAAATACATAATAAGAAAATAATAGATAATAATATTATAATAATAATAAACAAAATAATAACTAGGAAAGCTGACCCGAAAGTAGAATTCGTAATGGGTTGGAGTGGAATCAGACTAGTCTGATGGCTAGCATTTGCGAAAATAATGGACTTACTCTTCGGCCCACCAATTCTCCCTCTAACGGTCATTCTTTCCCGGGGAGCTACCTTTACCCTTTGACCGCATAGCTGCTCTATCTACTGAGAGGCCCTACTCAATCAATCCTGAACAGGGTTTCAAGGAACTTCTTGCAATCTCTGAAGCTTAGTTTTGAAGCACTACATTTTGAAGTGGCGGAGGTGGTATAGTGGCAATAGGCGCACTTTCTCACACGCCCGGTTACGAGTTCAAATCTTGGATCGATATCCGCCTAGCCTAACCAAACCTTCCATCTCTTTAGGGTCCCACATTTGGTATCAGACTCTTCTGAGACGATAAAAGCACTGATTTGCACATCGGCTGGCCACTGCAAGTCACCGTATCGGCCAAATACGCATTCAATACGCCACGATTCTGATGGAAATCGAGTGCGGGACGCACCCCTCAAACGGGATTTACTAAGGCCTGAAGGCTTTTGTTCAGGCTTGTAAATTTTGAACAGATATCCGTAATATTGCTATCAATTTCTTCACCGTTTAGGGGCGGGGATTTCACTTCATTACTCATACACATTTTGTATGGGCTAACATGGCTTTTCTGCTTTTCTGCCGTCATATATTGCCAGATGGCCAGCTCATGTACGAACAAGAGTGGAAAGCAATCGAGGGGACTCGGTACATTGACGATGAATGCGATAAAAAGTGATTATGTCTATACTGCGCACTGATGTTTTCTTCAGAAAATTTCTTCACACACGAGATCCTTCAAAGTAATGGCGTCCGATGATTGCAGCGATCACTTGTGAACTTCTACTAGGAAGGTTTTTTCGGCTTCTGCAAGCTATTTCTCAACGCCTGTCTGCACGTTGTAAGGTTGCACATGAAGATATTTGAAGGAATTCCTTTTTTCTGATCAGTCCCGAGTATGCTGATGTAATACGGAGACAAGCTTTCTGGAAAAGCCTGATTTTTGGATATCGCACAATGTCATCAGTGCGAATGTTGAATAGAGACGATGAATTTTCCTTCTGAGGCATTCGTGTGGATTACCCATCATTTTTGGCATGTCTAGAGCAGATAGAGGGGAACAGTTCAATTTTCGGGTGTCCACTATACGCTCCTGCGACATGCAAACTTGCAAGAAACTTTATTCAGAAGGCCATAGCCTGAGTTGGTGAATTAAAGGCAACCTCGAAATTGTCGTGAACCGTGCCTTTAAGCTGGAGTAAACTAAACAGCGATCTCAAAGAGCACGAGCGCAGAAAAAAGCTAATAAGTTCGATAATAGTTCTGTGGACAAATTGAGTGGAAACCAACGGAATTGCCGTTCTGAAGTATTGACTGCCTTTCACGGGCAACTCAAACCGTTAGTCGACGGCCCGTATCGTGCGCTATCGCTAGCTAAACCTTGTCTATCTGCAGGCATCAGAAAAGGGCAGAAAAACATTGCTCATGAACGAGCGTTCCCATTGTTGCTAGGATCAAAGGGCAGATGGGCTGAGTATTCTAATGCCTTCGAACCGAAGTGGAGGAAGCGAGTTTCAAGATTTTGTCTTAGGTGATTGGGATGAATTCGCATCTATTGTGGGGTCGCAAAAGGGCAGGGCAGCAGCTTCCCTGAATGTCCGTTTTCGATGCTGTTCAGTATGGAGTTGGGCTACAGATAACCAATGGAAAATGAAACTGTTGCAAGCGTTTAGCAGGCATTATATGAGAAAGCAAAAGAAGTTCGTATATCAGGAATGAATCTTCGTACCACTCCCGTGATTTTCCACACTCTCTCATCGGTTCGCGTCTCCCACCGAAGCCCAATTCGCTTACATCTCCGACAAAATCCTGTACCACATAGATGAAATGCTTCCGTAAGTCAATTAATAGGATCGATTCACAGATTCGGACTGAGGACTCGAGTTCAGCGTTCGAAGACACATAGGGCCGTATTCACCCTATCTTGAATGGCTGTGGTAAGCTGGTACACTCTTGCAAACATCTTGAATTGAACCTAATCGAAACAACCTTGGAGGAATACAATGATTCAAGAACTGAAAAGTCTGTTTAAACAGAGATATATGCGATGTAAAAACAAGACCATTTTGAGACTTGACAGAGGTGGAAGCTTTCGATAATAAAGAGAAATTCAACTGATTTCAATAGGAAGCATCGATGCTCTACACTTGCAATCAAGTTAATATAGTACCAAGGAGAACAAGAGCAAATGCGTTCTCGCAATCGAGGACAAACACTTTGGTTCGAAGCTGTCATTCAGATGATCAGCTTGACTATCGTTTCTAGGCAAATCAGAACAAAAACGAAACAACCCGCCTCAAATGATTTATTGTTTTATTCAAAAAGTGAACCTCAGGTGAAGATCTTCAGTTCAAATGATTGCGATGTGATATAACCTGCGAAAATCCGGGGTGGATTTAAAAGTATATGGTTCTAGGCCGAATTTGAAATATGGGTAGGTCTGTGAATTGTTAGGGCTGGGGTATACCTAACATTCGAAAATTCGATTATGGATTGCAAGTATATTTCTCGGGCACTCTGGGGATTGGCGTTATCCTTAGCACCAGCCAATCTATTCAGTTTTATTCGCCAGTTACTCGACTGTGAATATTTTTTCACCTCGCTGTATTTGTTTGGGAGACAGCTGTGTACATCAAAACGAAAAAATAAATGAATAGTTTCAGTGCTAATCGGTCTATCCCAGGTTTGCTCGTGGTTATGAATACAGCATAAGCCTATGGAACGAGTATTCATTGTTGGCAGTTCATGTAAATAACTTTGCCCCGTCTAGAAAAAGCTGGCATTGAAAAGACCCAGTTGGGAGAAGTGGGAGATTCTATTGATTGAATGAGGATCAGGCATCTCTCTTTATAGGTTTGAACACCTGAACCATGCATTGGTTAGCGATGTCGCTTATTTTTGCCCATCTTTCCTCCTTTGGCACTCATATATTTTGTAAAAAATAGTGAAAAAGGAAAACACTCACGAGAGCACTCTTGCCAACACCACCGCACCCGCAGACGACCAGTTTATATTCCTTCATGACCTTTTGCTGGTTTCAGATGAATTTAATAGAAATTCAGAGTAATGTCGTCTGAAATCGAAGGGAGGAGCTGATAAAGAAACGTTGATATGGAAAGCACTGATATGATATGGCGGATAGATTGACGGGGTATGGGAAAGGGCGCAATGGAATCGACCCCGAGAGCGGTGTCGACGATTTTAGCGCTTCATATCGTGGTCGTATCACTGGCCACGCCAGCTGATCGCTGGCCACAACACCTAATCGGTGACGGGCTACGTCCACGATGCGCGAGAGATCTCCTCTCCCCCCATGGCGGTGAGATCACAAACGGGTGGTGCGCGAGAGTCGTTCGCATTCCACGAATCGTCGCGTGGTGTTCAGTTTTCGACGATTCTAGCGGTTCGGATCCGGCCACGATCGATGACATTACGATGATGATGCAAAGACATCGAAGATTTATCACTAATTGTCTGTTATCGCTTGTAAGAAGGCTAGCGCTGAGGCACAAAAAAGGCACGGTCCCTAAAAACATCTGAAACTAGCGCTCATTAGGGTAGGTATCCAGTCTTTGAATATTACAGCAACCATAAATTTAGTTCAAGGCCAAATTTTATAAATATTAGGTGGTTAGAACTAGGAAGGGTCAATCCGTAGTGATCAGGACTGCCCTTAGTCGATACATGGAAACGAAAAATGATGTAAAGCAAGCAGTAATCGATGAGTAGACGGATGCAGAGCTTCTGGGCAACGCGTAGATCCCTCGTAGATGATTAAGGACTTCAGAACCGAGATCAGGTTCAGCCGCTAGGTCCAGGATTTTCTTGAACCTGTAACACTACCGATTCCATCTGAACGTTGAGTATTAAGCTAATGATTTGCTCGGTCCAGGGCTAAAGGCAGCTCCCACTTTTTTCGGAGATCGCTTATCTCGAAATCGATCTCTTAGTTTTTTGTTGTGAGGTCTCAGAACTGGCTATTTTTACCCAGTTCCTCTGACTCTGCTGCAGCTTTTCTCACCTGCACGAACTTCAACTTGTTGTTTATTTATTTGCCCTGACCTGACCCTTCAAAGAGCGGGAAGAATTTTTGAGTTTGCTTGATCAACAAGTATTTACCTTGCGCCCTCGGCATTTCGAAACTAAACAAATGAAATGATAAATAAACGGGTTTTTCACATTTTGAGAATACTTCCACGTAGTGCTCGGCCAAATTCTGATCGTTAAAAAGCTTCATGGAAAAGCTGAGTGGAAACGAATTGCAAGTATAAGCAGCCACTGCCACGCCATTAACACATTCGCCCGAAAAACGTGGAATGCTATTCACAAACCCGTCCAAGTCAACTACGAAGACTTGTTTCGTAATGAGCATTATCAGAGAAAAAGTTGGTTAGTCGATGGGACAATTTGGGAGGAGGATTGAAACTTCGACCGCTTCTGAAGTGGTTCAACTCTAAAGCGGGTCAGCGGCGGAGAACGGTAGTCCGTCCGTTCAAATGGACGTTCTTACATCAAAACTCGTCCAAAAGTAAAGTAATTAGAGGAGTTGTATGGTGAAATAATTCAAGCCAGAAAACGAATATAAAGGAGAGGCTAGACCAAGGACCAGCTGCAATGAGCCTATGTTGGTCTTGAGATCTTGAATTCCATAGAGGAGAAGGAATTATTATGCTAGGGCGCTTGGGCGACTGCAGCTGTCAAATGATCAGCAAATAGCTCCAATCAGGGTCGAGACAGAGCGATCAACAAAGCCGTCATAAGCGGCCGCTGCGAGACGCCCGTAGAAAAAACGTCAGCAGAAATGAATTCTAGACTGAAGGCTCATTTGAGACTCAACTACATAAA